AATTACTTATTGACCACTCACTCAAGCGATCCATTATTAACCCAAGGTGAAAATTGATTTGTTGTGTTGACCGACATATGAAAATTAATCAAAATTATCGATGACAAATGTAAAACTCAAAAAAAAAAATATTATAAAAGATTTAAAGCAAAAAACGTTTATTTAAATCTATTACGATTTTGATCCCAATACTTTATTCTTCAGTTTAATATTTATATTATCTATCTGTTGTTTGATATTTTGCACCATTATTATAGCATTAAATTTAATTTTTATCAGCAAAAAATTAATTTATGCGTAACAAGTCCTTTTTATTTTATTCATATTAAATTAAACGCTGCTGTAAATATTTATTCATCAACTTATTCGACTATATAAAATAGCCAAATTTTAACATTATATCTATTGCATTTTTATTAGGTTTATATGTTTTGTATGTTAGAGAGAGCTATAACTTTTTTTTAACTTATTACTTTTCAATTCAAATCTTATCAAAAATATCTAACTTCATTGCGAAAATTCACCTCATAAAATATGATATGATATAAACGCAACCATCCCACGATCGTAATGATTACCATATAGTCAAAGCTCTGGTAAACATTTTGCAAGAATAGAATTTAAATATGTAAAAACTTGAATTGTTTTAAATATGGAAAAATTGTGATGTTTGCATTTTACTATAGAAATTATTGATGTTGCATTTTACTAGAAACTTCGTTAAATTCCGCACTTGTACCAGAATAAATTAAGCGAACAAATAAAATCATTATTTTCAAATTTACAAATCATATTTTTTTCTGTTCACGACTATATTTACAACTGTCCAGTTAGGGACATTTAGTAACTTTGTGGAATTTATAATTGTTAGCCGTATTTTTAAGTAGATTCAATCAGTAAACTATGATTGATTAATATACTCATGGAAAAAGTCGTAAAAAATTGTATTAGTCAATATATTTGTCATACATATGAAATTTTGGACATTTACTATATAAATGTTCTGAAAATTTATTAATTTTGTGAAAAAAAATTCTACAATTTACTTTGAAAACAATTATTGCTTTTTGTGAAAGACTATTCTTACTTTCTTAAATTTACGTGTAATAATTCATTGAAATTTAATCCGTAATTTAAAATTTTGAAAAACTTCATTGAAGCTTTTTTGAAAACTGAAGAAGTTAGATCTTTGAAATCTGTTTTTAATTTTAAAACCCGTTGAATTTGGTTCAATGCCTTTAAATTTTATAAATATCAGTCAGAAATGGTAACAAATATTGTATTTATTATTTAAATCTCCATAAATATGTAATATATTGATATCCATTGTTCATATCTCTAATGATTATTTTTGACCGTCTTCCCAAAAAATTCAGTACATTTTTCATTCTATTAACACAAATTAAATGCTTTTTGAATAATTAAAATCGAATGCTCTGTTTTCTCAAAAAGTGAATTGCCATTTTTGCACTTTTTGCTCTCTATCTTCGAAATGGCTGGACCTGCCAAAAACTGATACGCTTGTATCTCAATAGAAATGGAATGTTTTTTAAATCACCCGAATCGGTTGTAGTGTGATACGTCCGAAATCGTAGAAAAAAATCCGCACAAAGCACACACACACATACATTCATTTTTACTAAGGTATGCCAAAATTTTCAGAAACCTTTAAAACGTGAAGATATTTTTGTCATTTGCTATATAAATTGCAAGCTGCCTCATAAAAAGATGAACTAAATGAGGTGATAAAGTACAATAATTAATTTTCATAAGGTAACCCAGTATTAAACCTTATAACAGTGACAAATTAACTTGAATCATAAAAAATATTTTTGGAACATATTTTAAACATTGCGTTATACAGAAAAAACAAATTAAATAAAAATAAATCAATAAATAAAATAAAATAAAAATTAAAACAAGAAAAAAATAACGTAGTTAAATTGATTAGTACAGTATACTTAGATATACTAACGTAACGTAAAGATATGCAAAAAAAATCATTTTTAATTTTTGTCCTGAAAAATCTGCGATGGAAGTACGCCCCGTGGTAAGAGTCACATGTGCTGCAATTCACGTCATAAAGTTGTAGAACTAGATGAATTTGCACTTCAAAGATTCCAAATTTGATTAAACTTGAGTAATAAAATCTCGTCACTTCTCATTTTTGCAATTTGAACAAAACAAACCCCAGCTCTCCTCCGACCCGTGCGAGGTCATTCAACGCGGCCTACAAAATGCCATCGGCATCGGCTTGGGCTTGGGCATGGGCATGGGCATATCGCACAGTAAGGGCGCGCGGCACGACACGACATCGCGAAAGCAAGAAGCGTTCTCGTTTATTCCCATTATCGACTGAACATCAGAAATCGATTTTCTCCATTACTTATCATTCGTATCATCCATCCAGAACATATAATTCAGGACGAGACCTATCGCACGACTCCTTCTTCTAGTTCCAGCTCGAGCTACCCCTTCGAACGTTTTTACTTTCTTTGGGGCGGGCGGACGAGTCTTCGATTCGAGGGTGTTCAGACATGCGAACCAAGTGAGGGTGTTACGTAAGTGCGCTTTGTCCAAACGTGAAATTAAATCGCATATTTGTGATTGTGTGTATAAGAACATTTGTAGATGCAATTTGAATATTCTTTCTTCATCATTCGGATGAAATTCTAGTAAGCTACACATATTTGAAACAAATACTTCCACATATTACTCGTCAAGTATTACTTGAATTATACTTTAGAATCATATTATAAAACAAAGCATATATTGTGGAAAATACTATTAATACTTTGATAAGGAAAAATATCATTTGAGAATATGCACGGTTACAAATGTTATAGTACATATTGTAAAAAGTATTAAAAGAAATTTGTTAATTTTTTATTTACAGTTCAATTATAAATGAAACTTATGTTTCACAAAATATTAAAAATGAAAATTTTTACATATATTTACGTTTTAAATGTTTCTGAACATTTTGGCATTCTTTAAAAAAAAAATGATGAATGTGTCCATGTGTGTCGGGTTTAATATGAATGTATGCATGTATTTGCGAATAGAAATTTTCGTCCAGAATTTTGAGATTCTAGATTAAATGATGAAAGTATTCGATTTCGATAGAAAGATGCATTAGTTTTTGGCAAAGGTAGGTCGAACCATTTAAAAAATACGGGGCAAAAAGTGCAAAAAATTGGAATTCAATTGACAAAGCAAAGAGTTCTATTTAAATAATTAAAAAAATAGTACGAATGGAATAAAGCATTCGTTGAATTTTTGGAAAGGCAGTGTAAGTAGATTTGCCTTAACACAAATCTATACTTATCTATCTATTTTAGTGTCAAAGGATTCAGAATTAATTAAAAACATAATATCAGCAAATCGGAGATTTCTAGAGAAAACAAGTTTTGCCTGCTGGAAGTTATTCAATCTAAATTTATAATTATACTATAGTCATCAAACACTTTAAAAATTATTATTGTAAATTTTATCTCGAGTGATTTCAAATGCTGAATTTATTTAAATTTGAAATAAAATCATTTCATTCTATCAACTATTCTGCATAAAGAAAGTAAATACTTTTCTTCCAAACAACATCCGAAATAAATCACTTTACAAAATCGGGGACAGTTTTGTTCAAAATTAGAGGAACAAGCTTTATCTTTGTGTACATTAAATTACCATATCTGAGTATTATTTTCCAGGTGACTGTACTGTAGAAGAACTTCTTCGCTCTTCTTACGAACAAAATTTGAGGAAAAAACACAAACGACTGTGCTTGGAATATAGAAGAAGGGTTGATAAATATTTTATCTAAGACAATAATATTTAAATCTACGGCCATCTGGTTATAATAACATTTAAAAAGTAAATGTTTCTGTGTGTTTTTAGTATCAAAACGATTCTTAGATCTCAAAACCAAAGCGTCAATGTGCACTATGTACTGGAAACTTAATTTGAAGCACTTAATTCAGTATATACATCAAAAATTAAAAGAACTTTATGTCTACCATTTAGATCAGTCAAATTATGGAATTTTAGTTGGGTTTTTTATATGAATTCAGTTTTATAAAGATTGGTTAGTTCATTTCAATGTTCATTTTTTTGATTCAGTATTTATTTGATCAATTCGTCGATTTTTGCAACAATTTTATTTTCAAATCTTAAAAAGGGAAAATAATATAAAACACAAATAAAGAAATGCACTCTCTAGTTGGTAAAATTTTAAAAATATATGACAAATAGATTTGGCCAATGAAAAATATTATTTTACCGATATTAAAGAAAAAAAGTATTGAAAGTTTCGCTGGGTTGAAATTCAACTCCGGGTTATGGTTTCTACAGATAATATATATATATATATATATATATATATATATTCACTTTTTTCGATAAGTTAACTTCTATATGGTAAACATGACAACCTCATATCTACTAAAACATTTATTTAGATAAGAAAATCACTGAAAATGCGCAACCCCGTTGTAACGATTTGGCATAAAACATCAATTTGGATATTTACAAACATACATACTTCACATACTGTTTTTTGTTGAAGTTGTAAGCTCAAGGACCAGATAGAATTAGTGGCTCTATCAACCGTTTTAAATGTAAATATTGATTGATAACAAATAGATTTACACTTATTTATTTATAGAATATAATTTACACTGTTTGTATAATAAAGTTTTAGTATTGATATAATATTGGAATATTTGAATGTGTGGATAGCTTGGCGACCGGGTTAAGACTATATTGTTAGTGCCGGCTTCAGGTATTTAGCAGGACCCTTTGTAGTTGAATCTTGAGATGCAAATTGCCTATGCGTCGTTGCAAATGTAATATTTTCTTAGAAAAATATGAGTGCAGCGTTGTCACGTCTAATTTGGCGTGAACATTCTCCCCCCCTTGAAATAATATAGGGTATATGATTTCAAATTAGAATTATAGTTTAACACTTTGAGTTAATAACAGTCTATTGGTTTGATTTATATTGTCTATTGTTTTGGTAACACACAAACTCGATTAATTGCACGTTTGAGTACACCATTTTGTGTCTTGATTGTCACAACACGCACAAGTCCATCATCTCCTGGATGTGTGTCAAGAATACGCCCCAATCGCCAGTGTAGTGGAGGTAAATTGTCTTCTCTGACCACTACCATATCGCCTACCTCAGCTGATTGCGATGGTTGAACTTGCCATTTTGTTCTTGCCTGCAGCTCCGATACGTATTCTTTGTGCCAACGCTTCCAAAAATGTTGCACAAGTTTCTGTAGTCGTTGATACCGAGAAAGCCTGTTATCAAGGGTTTCAAGCACTGATGGATCGGGAGTAGATGTTAAGGATTTTCCAATAAGAAAGTGACCAGGAGTTAAGGGATCATAGTCATTGGGATCGGAGCTTAAGGGAGAGATTGGTCTCGAGTTTAATATTGCTTCGATCTGTGTCAAAACCGTATAAAAATCTTCAAAAGTTAAAATAGCATTACCCAATACTCGCTTTAAATGAGCCTTGCACGACTTTATGCCCGCCTCCCAAATTCCTCCAAAATGAGGAGAGTTTGGTGGAATGTGCTTCCATGACACGCCTTCGTTGGTCATATCATTAACAATCTTATTTTGATTTGATTTTGTTTGCAAAAATTTATAAAGCTCCTTTAATCCTGATGCTGCGCCTATAAAATTTGTTCCATTATCGGAATAGATTTCGCGAGGTTTTCCGCGTCGCGCCATAAATCGTTTAAAAGTGGCTAAAAAACTATTCGTAGTTAAATCAGATACTAATTCGATATGTATTGCTTTTGTAACAAGGCACACGAACAAACATATGTAAGCCTTAAATTTTTTGTATCCTCTTGTTTGACGATCTCTTAATAAGATAGGACCTCCGTAATCTACTCCGCATATAAAGAAAGGTGACTGCGGTGTAACGCGATATTTAGGCAAATTGCCCATTACTGGATTAATAAATGTGGGTTTTACCTTAAAACATGTTACGCATTTTTTCACGATCGATCTTGTCAGGTTTCTGCCTCCGATAGGCCAATAAGTATTACGCAACGCATTTAATAACATCTGTGCTCCGCAATGATACAGTTTTAAATGCTCATGCCTAGTTATTAGAATAGTCAATTGATGATTTTTTGGTAGTATTATCGGATGGCATTTATCATACGGTAAATTTGAATTCTTTATCCTACCGCCGACGCGCAATATTCCATTTTTGTCTAAAAACGGTGTTAATGATTTTAATTTCGACGATTTGTGTAATGCTTCCCCACGCGCGACTATATCTATGTCTTGTTTGAATATTTCATATTGTGATATTTTTATTAACTTGTTTAGTGAATTATTGAATTCATCGACCGTGAGTGGGCCATACAGTAGTTCTTTTTCTTTCTTCTTTAGTTTTAAATTTTGTAAAAATCGATAACAAAAAGCAGTTACGCGCACGAGTTTAATAAGGGAAGAGTATAAGAAAAAATGTTCGTTATTGTTAATTTTTGTACAAGTCAAACTTGTGATTCGACTTTCGACATCAGTTTCAGGAATTGAAATATTGTCAGTTGCACGTCGCTGTGTTTCAGTTAGATTTTGTAGCCAAGATGGGCCTGCCCACCACAAGGATGAATTCAATAAATCATGTGTATAGCACCCGCGTGATATGAGGTCCGCTGGATTGTCTTCCGATCGGACATGTAACCAGTTATTTGCGTCGGTTTTTGTTTGAATATCAGAAACTCTATTGGCAACGAAGGTTTTCCATTTATAAGATGGAGATCTTATCCACGAAAGAGTGATAGTGGAATCGCTCCAATAGAATTCTTTGTCAAACGCGATATTTAATGCACGTTTCGTTATTTGCGCAAGATTTGCTAGTAGTTGTGCCGCACAAAGCTCGAGACGGGGGAGTGTAATATTTTTTAATGGTGCTACTCGAGATCTTGCCGCTATTAGTTTGATTTTGATTTCAGAATATTTGTTAATAGACCGTACATATATACACGCGCCGTAAGCTTGCTCTGATGCGTCAGCAAAGCCATGTAATTCTGTGTTTATACGATTATTACAAAATATATGTCTTTCAATTTTCAAGTTTTTAATAGATTTTATTTCGAAACAAAACTGTTTCCATTTATTTTCTAGTTCCGAAGGAATGGGCTCGTCCCATGATAAGTTTAATCGCCATAGGCTTTGAATTATTAGTTTTGGTATGACGATAATTGGAGATAAAAAGCCCATAGGATCGTACATTTGCGCTGTTGCCGATAAAATGGATCTTTTACTAACTATTTGATTTATTCTTATATTTTTGTAGTCAAATTCAAAACTGTCCGTTACCGAATTCCAAGATATACCTAAAGTTTTGATAGTTTGTTCACCGATGTTTAAAGTTGGATTATCTGCATTTAAAAGTTTTGAATAAGTAGAATTAAATTTATATAGATTGAATTTAGCTTGTTGTAAAATATTACAAAGGTTATTTTTAATAGTGAATAATTCGGATATGTATCAGTTCCAGTTAATAAATCGTCAACGTAGAAATCATTTCTGAGAATTTCGCATTCCTTTGTATAGTTAGTTATGTTTTCTCTGGCTAACTGCTCCAAACAGCGTATGGCTAAAAACGGCGCAGAAGCTGTCCCGTATGTAACTGTATTTAATTGATAAATTTTTAATTTGCTATTAGGATTGTCCCTCCAGAATATTCTTTGCATTTTTCTGTCGTTTTCGTGAACCAAAACTTGTCTGTACATTTTTTCTATATCAGCTGTAAGTACAAACGCATGTCTTCTGAATCTTAGTATAATAGAGAAAATATTGTTTTGAATTGTGGGTCCAACAAGTTGTAGTTCATTCAACGACAGGCCTGCATCGGTTTTGCAAGATGCATCGAAAACTACGCGCAATTTCGTTGTTAAACTGTCTGGTTTTATCACCCCGTGGTGAGGCAAATAGAAACACGTCGCGGGTTCGGAAGATTCGTTGACTTCGCTCATGTGCCCTAGTGTTATATAAGTATTCATGAAAATTTTGTATTCGTTAAATAGATTTTTGTTTGTTCGTAAACGGTTTTCAAGTGAAATAAAACGTTTAAACGCGATTTGCTTACTATTCCCAATTTTTTTTATATTGTCTGTAAACGGAATTTTAACTATAAATCTCCCGTCGTTTGCCCGCGTTGTATTGGCAACAAAATGTTGTTCGCACTGTTTTTCTGATTCGGTAAAATGTTGTATATCGCTGCACGCTTCCAGTTCCCAGAATTTTTGAACTTGATTTTCTAAATTAGCCGTATGATGACATATCGTAAAAGAACTGGAATTGTTGAGAGGTACGCTGCCAGCAATAACCCACCCGAACTGTGTATTTTGCAAAATAGGTCTATTTTTTCCTAGATGAATATATCCTTTACAAAATATATTCCAAAATATTTCCGAACCTATTAAAATATCGATTTTATTGCTTTTATTAAATGTGGGATCCGCTAATTTTATATAATTTGGGATATTTAAAATATTTTTATTGAATGATACCGTCGGCAAATTATTTGTTATATTATTTAAGATAAAGCAGGATAGATCTAATGAAAAGTTATTAATGCACGATTTTAAAGTAATTGTTGTTTTTGACTTAATTTCCGTTGAATTTTGATTTATTCCCCGGACTGACATATTTATTGATTGTTTATGTAAACCGAGCTCATTAGCAAATTTCTCCGTGATGAAATTGGATTGTGATCCCGAATCTAATAATACTCTACATGCTCTATATCTATTATTGCTATCTAATACGTTAATTACTGCGGTAGATAAGATGATTTGACTTGAATCATTTTCGGTATGGCACGAAACATTTTGTGGTGCATTATTAACAGCTGGTAATTGGCTTGAGTCTATATGCAGAAGACTGTGATGATTTGAATTACAAAAGGCACAACGATTTAAAGAAGTACATTGATCGCTGTTGTGATTATAACGTAAGCAATTCGTGCATAGTTTTAATTGATTTACTTTGCTTACTCTATCTTCTGGAGATAGTGTCCGAAAACCTTGACATTTGAACGGTGAATGAAATGACTCTTTGCAAATTGGGCAAATATTTTTGTGATTAGTGGATGTAGCGTAAGACTTTGTATGTTTTGTGTAATTAGGTTTTATATCTTTAAATTTACTAGAGTTTCCGATTCTTGTTTCAGTCGGATTAATTGCTTCTAATATTGTGCAGCGTTGATTTAAAAAATTGCTAAGTTCGGAAAATGTAACTAGTTCAGAGCCTTTATTCATTAACATCTCCCACTCTTGATGAGTTTTCTTATCAATTTTAGAAATTACAAGATAATTTAATAACACGTCCCATTGATCGACGGGTTGTTGCAACATTTTTAAGCATCTTAAATGTTTATTAAACGCGTCTATTAGATTACGAAGGTCTTTACCTGATTCGTTATGCATTGGCGGGTGATCAAATAATTTTTTAATGTGATTGTTTACGATTATTTTCTTATTTTCGAAACGCGTTTTTAGTAACTCCCACGCAATTATATAATTATCGGCAGTTGCCGGTAGAGACTCTATAAGGCTTGCCGCCTCTCCTTTAACGCATGATTTTAAATAATAAAATTTTTGAGAATTACCGATGTTACAATCATTATGAATTAAAGACGAAAACGAATCATAAAATTGTAGCCAATTTAAGTAAGAGCCGTCAAACTGAGGTAAATTGATTTGAGGTAGTTTTATGTTGTTCGAATTATTTGTTATAGTGGTATCATTAGAATTACTATTCGAACTAGTATCTGACTTACTTGATGCTGCCTGACTAAGTTTAAGTAAAGTTGATAAACAATTATTATGTTTTTCAAAAAATTCATCTAACTCTATTTCTATTAAATTATTAATTTGACTTTCGTCTTCTAGTAATGCTGTTATACTAATTACGGTATTTTCAAAGATTTCAAACAAAGGCTTCACATCATCGATAAGGCGTTTTATGTCTGCAATATTTAAGTCGCAAGCAGGTAGTTCCGACATTTGCCTGCACACTTTTTCGTATTTTGTTAAACGTGTTTTAGTAACTCGCTGTTTCATTTTGAGTTTATTTAATGATTCCATTTTGACACAGATTGAATTAAAACTCTAAATATTAAAATAAGGAAAGATTAATAGGAAGGAATGCTTGACTAACCTGATATACTCGCTGCTTGCTGTGCTCGCTCGTAGGTGTAGCGCCAAAGTTAGAACTTCCTGTCTTGTTTAGAACTTTCACTTTATTTAATTTTTGATTTAGATTTAAGATTTTAATTATTTTCTTCGCACTGGTGACGCATCCGGTTCGTTTTGGACCAATGTTTTTTGTTGAAGTTGTAAGCTCAAGGACCAGATAGAATTAGTGGCTCTATCAACCGTTTTAAATGTAAATATTGATTGATAACAAATAGATTTACACTTATTTATTTATAGAATATAATTTACACTGTTTGTATAATAAAGTTTTAGTATTGATATAATATTGGAATATTTGAATGTGTGGATAGCTTGGCGACCGGGTTAAGACTATATTGTTAGTGCCGGCTTCAGGTATTTAGCAGGACCCTTTGTAGTTGAATCTTGAGATGCAAATTGCCTATGCGTCGTTGCAAATGTAATATTTTCTTAGAAAAATATGAGTGCAGCGTTGTCACGTCTAATTTGGCGTGAACACATACACATATTATTTGATATAAACCTAAACGAAGAATTTATATTATACATACAAGTTGATTCTTACCTCACTTAAACACCAATTTCATAACACACAGAGTTAATAGAATTTTCCATTTGAATTCTTACCTGCAATAGAAAGAGAAAAATATTAATATTAATTATTATTATAATAGATACATGTATTATACCGCACTATAAATAATGAAAATGAATTAAATAAATAGTTTAAAAGTAGATAAGTGAATAGGA